ACCTGGTCGAACTCGGCGGTGGGCGTCGCCGGCGGCAGCGTGGACTCGGTGGTGGTCATCGCAATGCGAGGCAAATTGGAAAGTGAGTTCGGAAGGTGATCGAGTTGGGATGGTGTTCGACTGGGATACCTGCCAACAAACCTTGTGGTGCGAAGTACCACTCTAGAGAAGCACGACCCAAGTGTGCTTCAAGTTGATAAGCCGCACGAAATCAGACCTGGAATGCCTTCAATGACTTTTACGTGGGCAAAGCCAGCTGCCGTGTATCGCGCATCTCTCGGCCACAGAGATTCTACGGACACGGCAGTAGCAACGGTACTCGAAACGTCCGATTCCGACGCAAGTCCCACATCATTTCGGCTGTATTGTAGCTACTCTCAGTCGCAACGTAGGCCGGTAGGCGTGGGATGCTTCGCGGCGCGGAAGGTGCCTGGAAAAAGGAGGCACCTGAGCCGAACAAACTCGGCGCCGCTTCAATCTCGACAGTGGCTACGACGCACCTTGGTTATCAGGCTTGAAGCCACGATATGACCACTGTCGACGTCAACACAAAGTCTCCCATGCAGCCACCGGCAGTACTACTTGTCGAGTATCTTGGCCCTATCTTTTTGCAGGACATGCCAGAGACGCCACACGTGCCTACGCCTGCTCGTGGCGGATTCGACTTGCTATGCACAAAAACAGGCCTGCGCTTGACCGACTCAGCATCAGGTCGTTTGGAATGGGTGCGACCGGTTGCGACGGACACGTTTTCTTCCACAGTCGTGGCAGCCGGCGGCCGCGGTGGGCACCGCTTCCAGCGTTTTTCTATCCGAGGTCGATCTGCAGTGCACGAGTTACGGGTTATGCACCCAACTTTACGAATGTCGCGGCCAATCCAAGAGGCGCCAACTCATCAGATTGTCGTCGTCGTCGTCGTTTCAAGGCCGACATGGATCCGTGTATTCGTTGACAACGAAGGAGCAAAAGAAAGCGGTCGACGTCCAAGGCTGGATGGTGCTGGCACCAAGCATCTGCAGCGTCAATGGCATCACGCTTTATCCATATGGTGACAACTAACAACCATGTGGTGCCGCAGACGGCACGCGTCTCGCGTCTGCGGACGCCCCTTTACCCATCTCCATCCGGCGGGATCTGCCACGTAATCACAGTGTGCCGCGTGACGCTGGAGCCGAGCTACCTAGTGGGGCTAGGGACGTTGAGTACATACTCGGCGCAATAAATATGAATGGAGCCGAGGGTTCGAAGCTCGTTATCGGTCGCGACTCGAGTACAGTGAAGAGAGAGTGCATGCACAAGGCAGATGGTGCCACTCGTAATACACTGCGGTGCACCGTTCAACTTGTTGAACAAAAAGCAAAAGCGTGAATCTCACTGTGGAAATGCAAGGCGACTGTAAAGATTCTCCCGTGTTTACGTAGACGACACTAAAGAGCACACTCGAACCATTTGACGGGCTTGCGGTCGGCGCCCCACCAGCCGTCGCCGTTGCGGAATGACGTATCGAGGTGGTTGATGCTCGCCTTGTAGTTGGCACCGGCGTTGGCGTCCGTTGCAAAGCCGTCGACGCCGACGCTACAGCTCTCGAAACCGACGACGCCGTCGTGGACAGAGCCATCTTTAAACGCCATGGAGCCGAGGATCGCAAGGCCGACACCGTCGGTCGTCGCTAGACCCGACGACTTGACACCGCACATCGTCTTGGTGACGCCCCGCCGGCGAACGTCTTGAGCGGCAGCAAACTGCTTCTGCAACGATACGTCGACCGAAGCTTGGGTTTTGAGGTTGAGATACGCTGGTGTCGGTGGGCACTTGCCGAACAGGTTCAGAATGCTCTTGAGCGTGCCGTCCGAGCCCGAGTCGGATGCCGCGCACTTGTCTTCGAGGAGGTTCCCGGCGGGGCTGCCCTGCATCGGACCCGCGATCGAGACCCACGTCACATCCTCGCCGAGTTGGCACTTGTCCGAAGCGAATGCGCTGGCCGCGACAAGATTGCCCATTGAAAAGGTCACCAACATCACGTTGTCGACCGTTTGAGAGCACGCGGGGCTCATCTGCAGGGCCGCAGCGCAGAACTCCTCTTGGACGCTCGTCTCATTCCACGCGCGATTCACACTCTCGTAGTGCATGAATGAAATACGCGAGCAGCACGGCGCGTGCTCGTGAATGTCACCCCACAAGTCCTTCGCGGTCGACGTCGGCGCTGACGACTCCGCGTTGCCGAC